AAAATGACCTTCTCTGCAGCAGACACACTTGTGAGACTGATGTTAGCGGAGGCTCAAGCCAAGTAAAGTAAACACTCCGTGAATGTTAAGCTTGGCAGACATGAAGAGGATTATTTCTGTACACCTTGGAAAATTTCTGCTCCCACTGCTTTTGACAGTCTAAGTGTTTCATAAATATGTAAACAAATGGTGTTAAAATGATGAGTATTTGGTTCTGCTCATCTCCATGTTGTTGTTTCATGAAAAACAGCTACCTTTTTGTCCCAAAAATAATAATAAATACATGAAATTAAGCAAAACCACAGACTAGTGATGTTCCTGTAATCAAATTAGGGATGGGTACCTTTGACATTTGAATCGATCCAGTACTAATTCCTGGTACCTACGAATCGATACCGGTACTTAACGGTACCAATTTTCGATACTTTTGAGTGTTTATTATTTTAATTCTCTTTTATAATTAAATATATATTTTTCTCAATATATAACAATATTTGATATATATCACGATAAATAACATACAACTGTTTGTATTTTAACATCGTCCTTGTAGTTTTATAAGCTGATAATTAAACTGAAGCAAACATCTTTACTGTGAACTACATTTACTGTGTATCTTCATTTCTGTTGCCGTCCTTTTTCTTTGATTTTTCCTACTGGGAAGTTAGAATTTCCGAGGAGAAAGCGAACGCACCATTAGCTGATAACAACGGTGGCAATGGAAGCTAACATATCAAGCTAACATTATCTTAAACAGTTTATTTAGCTGCTGGAGCAGATTAAAACGATGATGCCTCACACTTAGATCGTTGTCACTGGTTTCATCTTCACCCAATCACCTGTAGCATTTAGTAAAGTGAAGCCAAACTTTAGAGCGCGTTCATGTTCTTCTAGTCGGAATTTCGGAGTTCCGAGGAGGAAGCGAACGCACCATTAGCGAAACGGAAGCTAACATATCAAGCTAATTATATTTACCTACCGGAGCAGATTAAGATGAGGATGTCTCGCTTAGATCGTTGACGCTGGTTTCATCATCACCCAGTTACCCATCACATTTAGTGAAGTGGACCCAAGCTTTAGCGTGCGTTCTTTCTACCGTGCTGCTCTGTTTACAACTCGCTCGCAGCGACCGACGACATAACGCTCTTGCGCATGCGCAGCTGTCTAGGCAAGTTCTCGTTATGAAGGACGTGTACCGAAACGAGGCACCAATTGAAATGAAGTGAATCGGTGCTCGGTCGGTACTATGGAATTCGGTCGGTACCTTAAAAAGTACCGAATTCAGTACCCATCCCTAAATCAAATACATCAATAGTGTCAATTAACCCTTTGAAGCCCAGAACATCCAATCATATCCATGAGAGGAATACCAAAAGCTTTGTTCTTTTCTTGTTTTTAAAACGACCGGTATATGTAACTGGTCAGACTGGTATGAAGGGGGAAATTTTCAGAGTTTTTTGCCTTTATTCAGAACAGTTTTTTAGAACCAGAGACCAACAGTTTAGGATGTGGGGCTGAAAGTCCCACCTCATCCCACACACACAGTCATGCTTTTTTTAACTTAACTGCCTGCCGTTTCCTAATCAGAAAAGCCTCTCGCTGCCAGTGTTTTTGAGTGTTTTTACTAGTTTTTTTTTCAGAGTCACAGAACGTTGCGCTCTATGAGGATGTCAACGCCAAGACTACCAAAACAAAGAGTAGACTCACCTCTTACATCAGGAAGAATCCGCGTGTGTTTCTAGCATTATCTGTTCTTTCATAATCCGTTGTCGAATTGTGATCGGCAGAAGCTTTTCCGGTTCGCTCTTCCATTTTTCCCACAGCAGCGGCCCAAAACGATCTCCTAACACATAGATTTTCTGCTTCCTGATCACGTGACATGTGACGTACACAGAAGAAGATTGGCTTTAGAGCTGTGATGTTTGCTCTAACAGTGCGGGGGCTCGTTCCGATGCCGCCCAGTAAAAAAACCGCAAATGACGACTTTAGCCGTTGACGACAGTAAACGAGTTAAGCATGAATTAACCAACTACACATGAGAGCTTTTATATTTGAATGTACAACAGACACACAACAGCTTTCACACGATTCTAGCCCTAAAACAGTTATCAAATGTATATGTTTATTTTGGGTCAGGACATCCCATTTGTTTACATGGAGGGGCCTGTACTGGAAACAGCCACTAGGCGGTGCTTTCCTTTTGGATTCAGTCTTTATTTTGTGTTTCATTATCCAGTTGTTTATTAATGATTGATAAACCAGCTTTTTGTTACACTCTCTGCCACCTACTAGAGTCACAGAGAATGAAACCAGAGGCAAAGCACGCAAACGTGTACCGAACCCAAAGGACTGGAACTAATTCTTATTATAAGTGTGTACCTGGTATTAGACACTACACATCAGTAACAATACTAATAAATGTGAATGTGTTAATTCATCAGTGACTTCAGACATGTCTGGATTAGGTCTTTAACCATCGATTCTTTAGTTTGTGGTTTTGAAAATGTACGTTTTCCGTCTTTTTCACCCGACAGCGTTTCCGGAAGTCTGGCTCATTTTGCTGTAAGGGATTTTGTGGTGTGTTCACTTTTAAACAGCAGCCGTAGTTAGGTATTCCTGAGATGTTAAAGTGATTTTCCATGTGGGTGTTCAGAAGGAGGAGGGCAGCTGAACCACTGTGGATGTATGTTAACTGAAGCAGACAGAAGAATTTAGAGTTTCTGATGGAATGGGTTTGATCAGATCCTGATGTGGTTACGGTGTGGCGTTGTAGAGGTAAAGCTGGCGTCAAGCCATCCAAGGTTTTCTTCTCTGAGTCGGATTACCAGGTTGGTGAAGGCGTCTGGATAATTAGACAGGATGTTTGTACAGTTCTGCCATCCCGAGAGACCACCCTCCACCAGCTTTCCTCCCACACTCAAACTACCGCCCGCTGCGCTTGTGGCCTGAACCCTTGACCCTTCCATTCGCCAACAGTTGCCATATTTGCATTCCCAGTCCACTTAACGGCAGAAGTGGGGTGAAGAATTGAACCCCCCCCCCCCCCCCCCCCCCCCCCCCCGCCTCTTCCCCTGCTACTACAGCAGGCTTCATTCTCATCCCAGTGACTCCCAGCTCAGGCCTACCAGCCCGGACAGCAGTCTGGGGTTAATGCACCAAGCACTCCCATTGTCTCTGAATTAATGAGTCTGTCCTTTCTCATTCGCTGTCACGGAGACGAATGACAAGTGCTACCGTTTTAAATGGCTGTCGACACTCTACAGCCACAAAGTCACGGAGTCAGAGGCCCTTTCCAGACCTGTGCTCTGTCGGATTCCTCTCTGAGAGGACAGCTTTAAGTACAAGTGTTGACACCATCCGCATTATGGTCCGGTGTGATCAGATCTGATCCATGCAAATAAACACGTGGCTACATCAAACAATGAGCTGTTAGCAGACAACGAACGGGGCATCGTCCGTTTCACTGGCATTCACGTAAAATCGTGTTCAGTCATGTGGATTTTACTATTATAAGACAGGACTCAGATTCACCCGAGTCACATTTTTATATTACACCCGCAATGAATTGTGTTTTTATTGACAAAAATCCAGCTGCTGCTGAAAAATAATCCTGTGTGCAGAATAATCCGTTTGATGGCGGTTTGTCTGAGCCTCCTGGGTGCTATAAAGACACCAGCTTCCTGAACTGCAACATTTTAAACAGAAGTTTTTATTTTGTTCAAAAATCCCTTTTGTATGTTTTCAAGTAGACAAGGTTTTTCTTTTTTGTTCCAAATACTGTATTCAAAAACTACCGTTTGTTAAAACATTAGTTTTTAAATTTTTTATGAGATTCTGCTAATCCCAATTAATTGAATACGTTTTCTAAATGCTAACCAAGTCTGATATATTGAATTTCTATCAAATATCTTCAGGAAATGCTCCTGCTGTTTGTGTGAAGTCTTGTCAGGTCACATGACTTAGCACAGTTTGCCTTCAGATGGGCTGGATGAAACAGTTCCTGCACCTCTTAAGGTGGTCTAAATGCAGAGATGTCTTTACATTTGTATTTAGCGCCATTCAGCTGGGGTCAGATCTCCTCCAACAGGTGCCGGAGGTGTAAACAGTTTGGAGCTGCGTTGCGGAGCCAAAGCTCAGTCGTGATAGGAGCTAAGTTTGGTGTCCGCTCCGAGATCGGTGTGAGTCGGAGCAGCAGGACCCAGGATTTGTAATGGATGGCTCTCAGATGGAGGAGGAAGCGTCTGAGCCGAGGAGGAATGTTCTCACCTCAGGAAATAAAAGACCGATATCCTGAAGAATGGCAAGAGAGACCTCTGGTGGCTCTGTGCATCAGTCATTACAGCACCGGGCAGCACACGCTGCTTCACCACATAATGTCGCTTTAGAAAAAAGTCTATTATATGTCTTCTATCATGTCCCCTTCTATTTTTCTTTGTTTTTCTTCCACAACAAACATTTTCTTCTGCCTGAAGCAGGCGCAATCTGACTGTGGGATTAATGCAGATCACTTGTGATAGACAGAACACTGTTGATTGTTGATTTACATTTCCCCTGCATGTCATCAGAGGTGCTTTTGGCTGCAACAGCAAATTATTTTTATACATTATTCATTCGTCTGCAGCTAATCAGTGTGCAAAAAATATGTGTAAGAAAAGCTGTTAGCCGGACAAGTCAGAGTTTGTGTTGTTGTGATATTTTATTAATGAATCATTCAAGCACAGCTGGTTTCTGTAAGTCGTTGCATCGCTGATGCTTCTGGCTGGTTCTTGAGGGAAGTGTGGAGGACCCTGACTCTCAGACAGGAGAACCTTCTCTAAACAGAACCTACTCAACGTGGCACAAACCGAATCACTTTGGATTCAGTGGCTTTGAACAAATCACAAGCGTTCACGTTTGTGCATCAATCTGAGCTTGTTAAAATGCCAGCTTGTTATGGTGCATCACCTCTGCAGCAGGCGTGACCTTTAAAACTGACCTCTGACCTTCTCCTGTCACCACAGTGCTGAGCATCCGTGGAGCCCAGGAGGAAGAGCCTCCAGACCCCCAGCTCATGCGGCTGGACAACATGCTGCTGGCAGAGGGAGTGTCCGGTCCTGAGAAAGGTGGGGGCTCTGCAGCCGCCGCGGCCGCTGCAGCTGCCTCGGGCGGTGCCGGGGCCGATAACTCGGCGGAGCACTCGGACTACAGGGCCAAGCTTTCCCAGATCAGACAGATCTACCACACAGAACTGGAAAAGTATGAACAGGTCAGAACAGCATTTTTATTGGATGCTACATATTTCAGGTGCTTAAACAGAGCAACACAGCATGCATGGGGAAGATGTTGAGTAGGGATCAGTCAATCAAAGCTTTATTGTCAAATGCACAATAAAATTCTTACTTCTCAGTCCATACCGGATATCAAAAAGGTTTATACATTTGAGAGTAAATTATGTAAATAGGCATATTTACAGTAAAGAGTCCTAAAAGATTTAAAAAAAGAAGAAGAAATATCAACTATATAGTGGTATAAACTTTACAGATAACTGTGCAGGAGTGCACCACATTAGCTGTTTGTACAGCAGTCTACAGCGAAGGCAGTCGAAACGATTGTGCAGACATATTCAAGTCACAATGGGGGATGAATGGTTACTGGTTTTTACGGTAATTGTGATTGAATAAATTCACAGCAAAGCTACCATACTAGAAGATCTTGAAGACCGAAACATTTCTGTGAGGGAAACACGGGTTAAACGGGTCACTTACTATCTTTTAGTAAAGGTCAGCTAGCATATAGGGTGCTGCGGTCCTTTAACTGGAGGTGTTTGAATGTGTTTTAGCTTGTAGGTGTAGATATACTGGATAAACCTGACTTTTAAGTCTCCCACCTGCTAGCTCCCTGACAGCATTATGTCTGCAGTAGGAATATTTATTTTCAGCCATTAAGATTCTTATCCAAAAATGTTGCCCAAAAATCTTATTTGCAAAAATGTATTGAGTTTTTGAATTGCCTTCAATGGCAAGTAAATTTTAGACCAAAAATATTGTGGGAAAACTAAAGCACCACTTCATTCCCTTCAGAATAATGGGCTCGACACACGGGAGGCGACAAACGACCGCGATCAGCGAAAGTCATCGCTGTCGCTTTTACTACCTGACACACGGGAGGCGACCCGTGGCCAGCGGCAAAGCTATCTTCTCGTTCTGTTCCATGGCGAAATCCAAACTTCCGTTGTTTTGATTGGCTGTGTCAGGTTCTTCTTCTTCTTCTTCGTGTTTATTGGCGGGGGGCATCTAACTTCTAGGTGCATTTCCGCCACCTACTGTGCTGGAGTGTGAGTCGGAGTAAGAGCGTAAAAAAAAAACTAAATTCTATTCAACAAACCACTGTGTTTTAGATACTCAACAACCAACTTATATTTCCTTTCTTCACCATTTAACAAACTCTTTACATTTATCACTCCACCTCCTATGTTTTTTAATTTCTCCCTGAGTTGTCCTCAACTTTCCTCATATTATATGCAGTTACATAAAACATGTTCCACTGCTTCTCCCCCCACCCCACATCGCTGTGTCAGGTTGGAGGGAATTAAGGTTATTTAAGCGGTTCAGAGTTAAAAAAGCGGTAGATATGATGTTTCACAAGGTGCTGCTAGAGTTATGTGAAATCTTACTTGTGATTTTACTATAAAACATAATAATAATCAACTTCTCCTCCATGTTTGCTCGGAGATGTACGGAGCATCCTGTCCGCTCATTGGTCAGTGAATGAAACCTCCGTTGATTGGTCCTCGTCCGAGCGACAGCGATGAAAAGTTGAAAATATTTCAACTTTCTGGGATCGCGTCGCTGGGTCGCCTGTGCACGACACGTGCACGAGCGCAAAATTTCACACGCACGTTTTTCACGTTTCGCTTGGTAGGAGGGAGACCCGCGATTATCGCTTTGTCGCGCATGTCTCATTGAAAATGAATGGAGGAGAGGCGGTGTCGCCTCCCGTGTGTCGAGCCCATCAATCTTCACTTTGTGAGCTTGAGGTCAAATACTCTATTGACATCCAGTCACCTCTCTGTTTGTAAAAACACAGATTACAGGGTTTATTGTATTTTATTGGTGATGGTCAAACAAAGGTTAATTTAAAGAGCAAGTCACCCCCAAATCAACTTTTTTTTGCTGATAAACTAAATAAACGAGTGTCTAATCGTGCTGCAGACACGTGTCGTCAATAATTTGGCACTTCAGTGCATCTTAGTTAAAATTTAAATTTTCTGCCTAAAACTGGCAGTGTTGTGCCGTTGTCAGGTAAAAACTATGCACTGTATTTGAATTTAAATCTGCCACCGCTATTGGCTAAGAGGTATGCTATGATGTAAACTGGTAAATTATGATGTCACAATGCTGTTGTGAACCTGTGTGTGTGTGTTTGTTAGCGGCTCCGCCCTCTCGGTCTGCCAGGCAACAGCATTTGTTGCATTTTTCAAACATGAAGTGGGAGTGGAGTTAGACTCTGGTCTGGGGTGACTTGCTCTTTAACTATTTGTGCCTTTTTTCCCCCTTTTGATTGTTTCATTCATTTTTATCAAATTTATTTCAGGGTTTCCTTTATTCATTTTTGAGCATCTAAAAGTATCAAAACCTATTCTTAGAAGATGTGCCAATAACGCCATCCGATCCGTTTACCTCTTTCTATAATAAAATCATAAACCTTGCAGAGTTGAACTGTTTTTTATATGCACCACAATTTGCTGTCAGTCAGAATTCACCCTGGATTGTTTTACCCCAGGATAGCCCGCTGTCTGCAGCCCACAACTGTTACAGCGGTTCTGCGTGTTTTCCAAGCATAGCCTTAAAAAGTTGCAACAACGGGGAATGACTTCCTCTCGCTGCCTTGATATCTGATGCATTCGCGACAGTAGCATCCCTTTCAGATGAATGAGAGCACGACAGACGAGCAGGCAGAGAGACAGACACAGACAAAGCCTGACATGGCTAAATCCAGAGAGATATCAACAAGAAGAGCAGAAATAAGGGAGAGGAGACGGTAAGAGATGGAGTCGGAGAGTAATATCGCAGCAGATTCACGCCTCGTGTCACATGGGGGGGGATGAAGGAAAACGTTGCAGCATCTTCGTCTCTCAGGGTAAGCTACGCTGTGAAAGCATGTGTCTGAGAGGGGAAGAGCTGTCACGGGTTCTCTCAGCTTACTTCAGTCACAGTTGCTGTTAAAAATGAAACACGTCAGTGATTGTATTCACCGCTGCTCCACGAGAAAGAAAAGAGCTGGAATTTTACTCTTCAACACTTTGTTTATTTTGCCATTGTGGTCCCGTCTGCCATGCGTTTGACTTCAACATAAATTTGCCCTTTGACAGGTTGGTGTGCACCTTTCTCTGCAGGCTTGTAACGAGTTCACGACCCATGTGATGAACCTGTTGCGGGAGCAGTCGCGCACGCGGCCCATTTCACCCAAGGAGATAGAGCGCATGGTGAGCATCATCCACCGCAAGTTCAGCTCCATCCAGATGCAGCTCAAACAGAGCACCTGTGAAGCCGTTATGATACTCCGCTCCCGCTTCCTCGATGCCAGGTGTGTGTGTGTGTGCTTGTCTAATCGTGTGCATGTGCATGTTTATACATCACAAATTTTTCATCATGTGCTTTCCCTCTCATATCCCGTTGAATAGCTGATGTAGGAGGCTACAAACAGCCGTAACATGCTGTTTCTGCTGCGTATCACAGATGCAGTGCTGGTTGGCATGCTGGATGCCATTTGGACTGGCACACCCAGCAGTGTTGGCCAATAACATCTCCATGGACGTAATTTTCACTTTAGAGGTGGAGGGGACACGGGGGGGGGGGGGGAGGGGGGGGAGGGGGGGGAGGTTGTATCTCTACAGTATGTTTTAATGGGAAACCAGCTTCAACACAAACGGTTGTTTTCCGCTTGGTCCTAGAGCTCAACCAGTGTCAATTTAATATAGCGTAATATTGTTTTTGGATGGTAAAAAGTGCAGGGGTCAAATTTTAACTTTGGAAAAAGTGGGGGGGACATGTCCCCCCTGTCCCCCCCCCCCCCCCCCCAAAATTACGTCCATGAACATCTCCCTGTGTGCTCCGCAATGCTTTCTCCTTTTATTTTTTGTGAAATCGCTGGTTCTCTTTGATGCGTGCTTTGGATTAGCATACATTTTTTGAGGATAAATCTCATTCAGGCCTGGGTTGGAGGCATAACATTTAAATGAGCCACGCGCTCCTCCACAAATCTTCCCAATCTACTCTCATGCAAATGAATGTGGTGGTGCAACAGTGAGTGTGTTTACATGCAGCCAGTAACCCTTTTAAAACCGGAATATTCACAATAACCCGGTTCCGCAGGTCCTTGTAAACACCGCCAAAAACCCGGATATGCTCATAACCGGGTTTTTAAAAACCCAGTTACTACACCTGGGGTAACCCTTTTCTAACCCGAATGTTTGGTCATATAATCGCATATCGGGATATCCCCATCAAAGCGTGTGTTCTGCGCATGCTCTGTTCGCAAGGAATCTTGGTCTTTTGAGTAGCGAGACGTCTTGTATGCGCCAGAACACCGGAAGTAAACAACAAGTTGGGAGCAACATGGCGAGTCGCGGCACAGCACCACACTTTTGGAGTGACGAAGAAACTAAAGCGCAAACAAACACGGTCGCTATCTCTTCCGAACTGGGAAACATGTTGTTGTTTTCACGGATATCGGAACAAGAACCGGAAATGACGCATATAGCATAGCATAGCATAGTTTATTTATATAGCAAGTTTAAAATGCAGCATGGGAGCTGCCCAAAGTGCTGCACAGGCTAAAACAAAACACAACCATTACAAGGAGCTAAAACAAAGGATAAAAATCTCAATTAAAAGCAGAGAAAACATGAATACTAAGAACACATTAAAACAATGACACAATAAAACACTAAAACGAGTCACTGTCTAAAAGCCAAAGTGTAAAAGTGGGCCTTTAACCGAGATTTAAAAACCGCCAGAGACGGAGCCTGCCGAACTCCAATGGGCAATGAGTTCCATAGCTTTGGGGCAGCATGCACAAATGCTCGATCCCCCCGCGATTTGAGTCTCATCCGCGGCGTGCACAGCAGCAAAAGGTCAGCCGACCTCAACGTGCGAGTGGGCACATATGGAGTGAGAAGGGCAGAGAGGTGGGGAGGTGCCAGGTCATTGAGTGCTTTAAAAACAAAAGTCAGTAACTTAAACTGCACTCTGAAAATGACAGGGAGCCAGTGAAGAAGTTCCAGGACAGGGGTAATGTGGCTACGTCGGTGTGTACCCGTCACGAACCGGGCAGCAGCGTTCTGAACAACCTGCAGCCGATTCAGGGCAGAGTCCGGAACACCAACGAGGAGGGCGTTTGCATAGTCCAGGCGAGAGGTAATGAAGGCATGAACAACTGCCTCCAAATGCGTCTGGATGTAGTCCATACGTCCTGATGCTACCCCAACGTCCGCATTTAAATCAGGTTATGCAAATTAGGGGTAACTCTTTCTATTTATGCTTGTAAACGGGTTATTCTGATCAACTCAGAAACCCGAATACCGACCTTAACCCGATCATAACCCGGATATTGGCTGCATGTAAACGTAGTCAGTGAGAGGTAGAGAGGAAAACTTTCACTGGTTGAGAGGTGTCGGCGTGCTCAGCTCTGCTGATTAGTCTACTGGCTGCTGGAGCTCAAGCTGTTCACATTTACATATTCAAACTGTTAGAGCGAGGGACTCAGATTTCAGCACAAATCTCCTCAGCCACTCGATACGCAGAAAAAGATTTTTCTCTTTAAGTTTATGTAAAGCCCTCTTGACGTGTGATGCAAGTAGCCGTGACCTGACTGGTGCAGGAGGCGGAGGGGTCACCCAACGCAAAGGCAACGGCACATCTAAGTCATGTTCCTGCATAAATATGTTAAATCAGCCCTGAGCTCAGATTTAATCTGTGTTCACCATTTTAACACAATGATCCAGAAAAATGTTACTTTTCTCACATAAATTCAACAAAACTCACAAAAAGAATCAAACAGAATTTTTGTGTTAGTTTGTCCAAAAAATTGCATAAATAAAATGGCTTAAATTTGTATCAAGAGCAACACTTTCTGGTTTGTATTTTATTCGTGAAGTGAATTCTTGATGATGAGCAGCTTTTGAACAGCAACGTATTTCAGGGCTTCTGCAGCTTTCAGGAAGTTTAGTTTAGGACTTTTCTAACCCTTTTAAGAACCATTGTGATCAAATTTTAATATCAATATGATTACAGAGGAAATCTTGGAATCTTTTACGAATTAATTTCAAACTATAATTTTTCTCCTGTTTCAGATAGTGAACTAGACCAAAGTCTTTGCAAAGTTTGGTCTAGAAACACTCCATTGAAACCTCTGCAGCCCATAGCAGAGTTCTGCGTGGCCAATCACAGCTCTCTATAGGTGTTTCAAACACATAAAGAGCTGTGATTAATCCACAACGGTGGGCCAGTCACAGTCCCGGGCCGGGTAGCGTATGTTGTTTACATATCTGGGTGGCCTGGTACTTTTCCGGGCCAACCAAGGCTCATTCTCAGCCCTCCTCTCGAGGGGGTCTGCTTCAGGCCGACCAGGGCCAACACACCCACTGCTGACAGCAAATTCACACCTTCCATTAGAGCAAGCCTCTGATTGGTGGGTAGAATCAGCCCACATGGGCTTAAGGCAAGGATGTGTGGAATAAACCGGGCCAGGCTGGGGCCGACTGGAGCTACCCGGCCCGGGCCGACCCGGTACAGATGGGAATGGCCCATTAGTGGAACACTTGTTCAAGCGGGCTTTAGCGTGACTCATCACCACTCTCTCCTTATTCTGCTCTTTCTACCTGTTCCGAAATTCCCAGGATCTACTGCCCTTTTTCCTATTAATTTTCTGTCTCCCTTTCCTTACATTTTTTATCACAATTTATTTAATTTATTTCTTATTTTAAACATATCTTAATCATGTTTTGAAATCCTTTTTATATTGAATTTTTTTGTTTTTGTGAAGCGCTTCGGGATTTTTATCTAGAGAGGCGCTATACGATTGTTTTCTTTCTTGCTTGCTTTCTAACAAGATGGCGACAACTGAGAAACATTTCAAAAGTCTGTAAACTGGTTTCTACTGCAGATCTGGAAAAAATCATCCATGCCTTTGTGTCATCACGCTTAGACTACTGTAACGCTCTTTTTACTGGTCTCAGCAAAACCTCCCTCTCACGCCTTCAAGCCATCCAAAATGCAGCAGCCAGACTCCTAACCAAATCCAGCAGACGAGCTCACATCACTCCAGTTTTACAGTCCCTCCACTGGCTCCCGGTAGAATATAGAATACAGTTTAAAGTTTTAGTCCTGACCTATAGAGCTCTTAACAACCAGGCTCCAAGCTACCTATCTGAGCTTTTATCCCCACACACCACCTCTCGGAACCTTAGATCCACATCTGAAAACCTCCTGGCTGATCCTCGAACCAGACTGAAAACCAAAGGGGACAGGGCCTTTCAGACTATTGCACCCAGACTTTGGAACAGTCTACCTTCAAATCTCCGTCTCTCTAACACTGTAGAGATCTTTAAAAATCATCTAAAAACTCACCTTTTCATCCAGGCGTTCCCTCCCTAAATGTTTCAAAACGATGGCTTTGTTCGGGTTCACACCTTCACTTTGTTTATACTCATGATTTCATTTTCTACGTTTATCACTGCTATTGTTTTTCTGATGTTTTTAATGGTTAGAGGTATTTGCCCTGATCTTTATCATGTTGTACAGCGCTTTGTGATTTACAGGTGCTGGCCAGTAAATTAGAATATCATCAAAAGGTTGAAAATATTTCAGTAATTCCATTCAAAACGTGAAACTTGTACATTATATTCATGCAATGCACACAGACCAATGTATTTCCAATGTTCATTACATTTAAATTTGATATTTATAGGTGACAACCAATGAAAACATCAAATCTGGTATCTCAGAAAATTAGAATATTCTAAAGGCCAATGAAAAAATGTTTGTTTCTCTAATGTTGGCCAACTGAAAAGAATGAACATGAAAAGAATGTGCATGTATAGCACTCAATACTTAGTCGGGGCTCCTTTTGCCTCAATAACTGCAGTAATGCGGCGTGGCATGGACTCGATCAGTCTGTGGCACTGCTCAGGTGTTATGAGAGCCCAGGTTGCTCTGATAGTCGTCTTCAGCTCCTCTGCATTGTTGGGTCTAGCGTATTGCATCCTCCGCTTCACAATACCCCATAGATTTTCTATGGGGTTAAGGTCAGGCGAGTTTGCTGGCCAATCAAGGACAGGGATACCATGGTCCTTGAACCAGGTGCTGGTGGTTTTGGCACTGTGTGCAGGTGCCAAGTCCTGTTGAAAGGTGAAGTCTGCATCCCCATAAAGTTGGTCAGCAGCAGGAAGCATGAAGTGCTCTAAAACTTCCTGGTAGACGGCTGCATTGACCCTGGACCTCAGGAAACAGAGTGGGCCAACACCGGCAGATGACATGGCACCCCACACCATCACTGACGGTGGAAACTTTACACTGGACCTCATGCAACGTGGATTCTGTGCTTCTCCGCTCTTCCTCCAGACTCTGGGTCCTTGATTTCCAAAGGAAATGCAGAACTTGCTTTCATCAGAAAACATAACTTTGGACCACTCAGCATCAGTCCAGTCCTTTTTGTCCTTGGCCCAGGCGAGACGCTTCTTGCGCTGTTTCTTGTTCAAGAGTGGCTTGACACACGGAATGCGACACCTGAATCCCATGTCTTTCATGAGTCTCCTCGTGGTGGTTCTTGAAGCGCTGACTCCAGCTGCAGTCCACTCTTTGTGGATCTCCCCCACATTTTTGAATGGGTTTGTCGTCACAATTCTCTGCAGGGTGCGGTTATCCCTAGAGCTTGTACACTTTTTTCTACCACATTTTTTCCGTCCCTTCGCCTGTCTGTTAATGTGCTTGGACACAGAGCTCTGCGAACAGCCAGCTTCTTTAGCAATCACCTTTTGTGTCTTGCCCTCCTTGTGCAAGGTGTCAATGATTGTCTTTTGGACAGCTGTTAAGTCAGAAGTCTTCCCCATGATTGTGGTGCCTTCAAAACAAGACTGAGGGACCTTTTAAAGGCCTTTGCAGGTGTTTTGAGTAAATCAGCTGATTAGAGTGGCAGCAGGTGTCTTCTATATTCAGCCTTTTCAGAATATTCTAATTTTTTGAGATACCAAATTTGGAGTTTTCATTAGTTGTCACTTATGAATATCAAATTTAAATGTAATGAACATTGGAAATACATTGGTCTGTGTGCATTGCATGAATATAATGTACAAGTTTCACGTTTTGAATGGAATTACTGAAATATTTTCAACCTTTTGATGATATTCTAATTTACTGGCCAGCACCTGTATATCTGTGAAAGGCGCTCTATAAATAAACTTTTACTTACTTACTTACTTACAGCTCGTTTGAAACAGCTTTTACGTAAAGTTTGGACTATTTGGACTTTATTAGCATCAGGAGTAGATGGATGTATTTAAGTCTTTTATTTTGAAAAAGGATGTATTTTCGCCTTCATCAACAGCAGACTGCCTTGTTTACCGACATCCATTGCAGTGAGTACGTCACGTTGTTCTTTGTCCAGTAGATGTGGAGATGGTTTCGGTAGAACCCGCCCCGTGACCGAGAACCATTAATGGAGTGTTCCCAGACTAAATAATGCATCTTTTTAGTGTGGCTTGCCAGGTTTGTTTCGGATTGCATCGGTGCAGAATCAGGAGTAAATGTCTTCTTGTGAGGGCTTTGAAACTAAGACACAGAAGCTGAATTGTGCCTACCAATGACGAACAGTCCTTTTGGGAACTGGAGTTTACCTGAACTCAGGATTCCCTCACTCTAACCTGCTTTCTGGAGAGTCCCCTCTAGTTGACATTTTTCTGTTGACAAACTCTTCGTGACTGTGTGACGGTGTCTGTAGCTACCTGGAAACTGAGCTGAAATCTTGCCTTTTTTGACACACAGCCTTCAAAAGTAAACAAACAGAAAAGCAACAGTTGAATTGAACCTTTAAAGTCTGAATTAATAAAAATGTAAAAAGCTAGTTTTGGCCCTAGGACATTGCTGCTAACTTACCCTACCACACATGGTAATATTATGACTGGATTTAGACTGATGTAGCTTCCATTTGACCCAGTTTAATGTGATTTTCTTGTTGCAGACGGAAAAGACGAAACTTCAACAAGCAGGCGACAGAAATCCTGAATGAGTATTTCTACTCCCACCTCAGCAACCCCTACCCCAGCGAGGAGGCAAAGGAGGAGCTGGCAAAGAAGTGTGCCATCACAGTGGCTCAGGTACACAGCAGAGTACGCCCACCTGTCACCAGCTGCAGGAAAACCACAAACAAGGAAGGGTTTTACCAGCAACAGCTCTTCAGACTGATACAAGACACCCTAATATGTGAACATTCTGTCAGTACGCTTTAACTTTACTAATATTCACAGACAATGCTATTTCCTCTTCTTTTATGCTAATTGCTACCTTAGTAAACAGCTAAGGCCTAGTCCACACGTAGCCGGGTTTTTCAAAGAACGAATATCCGCCCCTCCAAAAACTTGCATCCACACCACCTCGTTTTAAAAAAAACTCTGTCCACACGTACCCGGATAAATACGTTGTTAAGGACATGCCAGACCTGTAGGCGGCAGTACTTCCCCCGTTCTTAACCTCGTCCTTCGTCTGTGGTCTTCCGCAAGGAGCAGTAATTCCGCTTGCAAAAACAAACAAGCAAAAAGCGCTTGGACAATTGATAAAGCGAGCGCAGCTCTGAGGGCATCCATGCTGTCGGCTAGTGTAAACACAGGTCGCACACGTGATGTCAGCATTTTTTTGTCGTGGAAAGTGACGTTGCGGACCTTAAAACTCCGGTTTTGTCTGTCCACACGCAGACACCCAAAACGGAGAAAACGCAGATCTTCACTTTGGCCGGAGTTTTTAAAAAGATCCGTTTTCGTGTGAAAAAACTCTGTTTTCGTGTGGATGACAGGCCAAAACGTAGAAAAATATCTACGTTTTGGCAGATCCCCGGCTACGTGTGGACAGGGCCTAAGAGTAAAAAAGAAGGCAACTGGATCTCTGTTCTTGTTTTATGAAGATGTTTCTCTCCTCATCCAAAAGGCTTCTTCAGTTCTGTTGGTGGGCTAGGGGTTCCAGGTTTATAAGTCATGGCCGAAGTCATCGACTTTGATGACTATTAGAAGCAGCCCTGCACACAAACGAACCAATAGTTTATTGGCTGTTACATTGGTAGAATGGCACCCACTGGACAAGCAAGAATAGCTTCTTTGAGTTCAGTGTTAGATCAGTCCCATCAGCTTTCCACTCGATTTACAGATGTCTTAAAGCTGCTTTAGCGAATCTTAGCAAGCCTTTGAACGCAAATACGGTCACGGAGCACTCACCCCTCCCCTGGTAATGTGATGTCTTATTCAGACAGTATTATTTTGTCTTTGATTAAAGTAGTAATTTTGAGTGTTTCTCTCGTAGGACACAGCGTTTACGGCTGGAAGCAAAACCTCTCGTTTGTGAATGCGTACCTCTAGCCTGCCAACATTGTTTTCCAATCATTATTCTCATGTTATGGTGCTTATTCACACACGTGTGTGTGTGTGTGTGTGTGTGTGTGTGTGTGTGTGTGTGTGTGTGTGTGTGTGTGTGTGTGTGTGTGTGTGTGTGTGTGTTGTTAGACTTACTTGTCTATTAGAAATATAAAGAATGTAAAGAATCAAATGTAGACAAGAGTTTAGGAGACAATTCTGGTCAGATACTCTCATTGATCAATGGAAAATGCCGTGATCAGGACCTTGATCCTCAGATCAGAAAGGGACATCCCCAATTTGGCTTCGTGCAAATCTTACAGCATAGTTAGCATAGCATAGTTTATTTATATAGCACGTTTAAAATGCAGCATGGGAGCTGCCCAAAGTGCTGCACAGGCTGAAACAAAACACAACCATTACAAGGAGCTAAAACAAAGGATAAAAATCTCAATCAAAGGCAGATAAACCATGATGAATACTAAAAACACATTAAAACAATGATACAATAAAACACTAAAACGAGTCACTGTCTAAAAGCCAAAGTATAAAAGTGGGTCTTTAAACGAGATTTAAAAACCGCCAGAGATGGAGCCTGCCAAACTCCAATGGGCAATGAGTTCCATAGCTTTGGGGCAGCATGCACAAATGCTCGATCCCCCCGCGATTTGAGTCTCATCCGCGGCGTGTACAGCAGCAAAAGGTCAGCCGACCTCAACGTGCGGGTGGGCACATATAAATGTGAGAAGGGCAGAGAGGTAGGGAGGTGCCAGGTCATTGAGTGCTTTAAAAACAAAAGTCAGTAACTTAAACTGCATTCTGAAAATGACAGGGAGCCAGTGAAGATGTTCCAGGACAGGGGTAATGTGGCTACGTCGGTGTGTACAGGAACTTATCAAACAGCTAAAACTATGTCAGATGTTTAGTTCTTGAAGGGCGACAGTCAGTAAACAATCTTGCACTCTCAACAACTCAAGTTGTTTTGATCTTAATTTTAAAGGAAACCAATGACAACACCAAGGTAAATACCTGTGTGTGTTTTGAATCCATCATTTGGGAATGGATTTGTTTTCTCAATTGGTTTCATTAATTTTCCCCAAATGATCTGAGGATGCAGCTGGGCTTGATTGAGGAAGTTGCTAGGTAGCGCCATGATTTGTGGACTTTCAGCTTCTAGGCTACAATAAAGGAGAATGTTTACCTACTCGGTGAATTACAAACTTTGCAGGATTGATTTGGTAAACATTTTAATGTTGTTTATCATTAGGGCTGGGAGTACCCTCCTGACTTCATCTGGGAGTCCATTAGCCCTAATGGGTGCTAGCGGAAGTTGACTGATTGGTGCTTGCGTGAGTTCTGATGATAGCTGCAGTCATGGTGACATAATGAGACTGTTATTGGCAATCATTCTATTCCTTTACTAATGCAGATTCACAGCACCGGTCTATGTAGCTGCTGCGTGTGACAGAGGCTTTCCACAGCGTTTCACGTGCCATTAAAGACCCAATAAGCTAAACAAAGCCACTGATACTCATTTATAAAAAAATTTAATGAGAAGATTTGTGTGGTTACATGTTTGGAGGAGTAAACTATTCCCTCTTGTTTCTCTACTCAGGTTTCCAACTGGTTTGGGAATAAAAGAATCAGATACAAGAAAAACATTGGTAAGTTCCAAGAAGAAGCCAACATGTACGCTGCGAGAACTGCCGTGAATGCGGCTAATGCATCCTCACATGGAAGCCAAGCAAATTCACCTTCCACTCCAAACTCTGCAGGTGAGACAGGAAGTCCCTGACTCTGCTAGGGTTAGACATGACCTTCCTCTCTGTGCATCATGCAGTTCATTTAAAGCTTTTCAGTGCTGATGCTGTGATTTGTTAAGGGAAAAAACATGAAGGCAGTCCATGTACAATAAACATGCCCACATCCTGGTAAAACAATGCGATTATCATAAAAACATTTCATATTTCCCCTAATAAGAACAACTGTACATCTACTGCTTTAGATTAATCCAGGGCAAAGATTTGTCAGAGTTTAGGCAACTGGAACCCCGTGCCAAGTCTCCATGTCCTACTGTCCTCTCTCTCTGGGTCTAAATAAACAGTTTTCTCCATGTAAACTCTGTATTGACCATAGCGTTTAACTACATTCAAAAGATAAGTCTGGTGAGAATCTGTATGTAAGAAAGAAGATCAAACCAACAATGAATTTATCATACTGATGGTCATGCTGCTTGAGTGCATTTTTTTTATTTCATACAGTGGGACAAACGTATTTGGCAGCCGCCAAATGTGCAGGTTTGCCCCACTTAAAAAGATGAGAGGTTTGTCATTTTCATCGTATGTACACGTCTACTGTGAGAGAGAATGTAAGACAAAAGTCCAGAAAAATTATTTGTATCATTTTCAAATTATTTATTAGTGCAGAAAATAAGTATTTGGTCAATAACAAAAGTTCATCTCAATATGTGTTGATGTAATGTAACCTAATGGGCCATTCCCATCTGTACCGGGTCGGCCCGGGCCGGGTAGCCCCAGTCGGCCCCGCCTGGCCCGGTTGATTCCACACATCCTTGCCTTAAGCCCATGTGGGCTGATTCTACCCACCAATCAGAGGCTTGCTCTAATGGAAGGTGTGAATTTGCTGTCAGCAGTGGGTGTGTTGGGCCTGGTCGGCCTGAAGCAGACCCCCTCGAGAAGAGGGCTGAGAATGAGCCTTGGTTGGCCCGGAAAAATACCAGGCCACCCAGATATGTAAACAACCTACGCTACCCGGCCCGGGCCGACCCGGTACAGATGGGAATGGCCCAATAGATGACAATGAGTGTTCACCAGGTTTGCATACATTGTAGCTGGTATTTTGGCCCATTCCTTCATGCAGATCTTCTCTAGAGCTGTGATTTTTTGGGGTTGTCACTGGGCAACACAGTCTTTCAACTCTCTCCACAGATTCTCCATTGGATTGAGGTCATGAGACTGAGTAGGCTACTCCAGAACTTTGAAATGCTTTTTACGTGGCAACCCTTTTGTTGCCCAGAGGGTGTGTTTGGGATCAGTATCATGCTAGATCCATCAATGATTTACCTTCAGTGCTTTGACCGATGGAAGGAGTTTATTCCCAATATCTTATGATTCATGGTTCCATTCATCCTTTTCTTAATAGGGTTCAGTCATCTTGTCGCCTTTGCAGAAAATCAATATTCTTCCCTCTCCAAACACGGCCAGTGGTGTTTACACCCAAGATTTCTGTATTGGTCATCTGACCATGACATTCTCCCATTCCTCCTCTGGATCTTCCAGATGATCTCTGGCAAACTTTAGACAGGCCTAAGCATGTGCTGGCTTAAGCAGGAGACCTTTGGAGCGCTGCAGGATTTTAAACCATGACAGTGTAGCGTGTTAGCAATAGTAATCGTTGTTATTGCCCTCTGTGTAGTTCTGGGATATTTCACCATTCTAAAGATCATTTGTGCCCTATGAGGTGAGCCCAATGTCGAGGAATATTGTCAGTGATCATGTATTTATTGCAGAGATGGGGAATTGTGGCATCAACAAGTCATCTCCATGCCATGTTTTTCTTCAGCTCAGCAACTAAACCAGGCAGTTTCCATCAGCACAGTGAATGAGCCTGGTTCAGTTGCTGAGCAGAACAAAAACACGGCATGAAGATGACTTGTTGACGCCACAATTCCCATCTCTGATTTATTCCATTTTCCAGTTGCTCCAACTGTTAATCTCTTCTCAACAAGCTACTTCCCTATTGTAGATTTGCTCATTCCAGTTTTGTGTGGATATGCACAGTCTTGCCCCTGGTGTCCTTAATTCTGTGGTCTTGGCCACAGTGGAGTTAGATTCTGAATGTGTGAAGGTGTGGACAGGTGTCTTAGACAGATAAGCACAAACAGATGCCATTAATACAGGTAACAAGTGGAGGATGGAGGAGCTTCTTAAAGAAGAAATAACAGGTCTGTGAGGGACAGAATTCCTGCTTAATTGTAGGTGTAAATCCGTATATTCTGCACCGTTATACAAAAAAAAAACTAAATAATTAAATGTGATTTGCTGATTTGTTTTATAAAATTCTGTTTCAGTTGGGATGTACATGATGAAAAGTATGGACTAATAATTTTAAGCAGGACAGCTTGCACAATTGGTGTCTGCCATCTTCTTTTTATCCCCACAGTACATAGAAACAGCAATAATACCAATTCCATTAAAGCGTTTAAACAATATTTTACATTTATAAAAGGAGTTGCAAACATAATCACGGTGCCCCCTTCTCAGCTTTTCAGCTGGAAATGTTTTTGCAGCTCTTGCTTGTCTTTAAAAAATAAAAAAACATTCTGAATTTAGTAAAAACTCACAATCTGAAACCTTCATTAAAGAATAATATTTTTTTATAGCTTGGCAAGAATTTTAATAGTGGAGGAAGGTGCAAATTCTGAACACATTCTTGTTTCTGATATTGGAGCTGTAGCTTTTTCTACTCACAAGTAACGTATTTGTTAAAAATACATATTCTAAGTTTAGCACAGGAAGAAATGAAAGCTGTGTTTGGTCCTTTTTGCTTTGATGTAACTGATTATAATAATAAATCTCATTGGAATTCCTGATGATTCACGTTTGTATTGAGAAACAACTAAGCGGTTATTCTCATCCGTGGAAAGAGCGACACAAATCCCCGTGCTGCTGGAAATGTGCCAAAGCCCCCTGCAGTATTCTCCTGTTGGTGTTGGGTTTTGAGCTGCAGATGCTTTCAGGTGTGTTCTAGTCACAGGTGTGTGACTGGCTCCTGACTAAAGGACATTCTGAACCAGTGTGACCATACCTGGTTGGCCACCAATAACATATTTCTGGCCAATATCCACACATTAACTGTGTTGTTCATTCCACAGATGCACAATCATTTATCAGGCTTTCCAGGGATATAAGATCTTTTGCCATTAAGCATCAACAAAGAAATAATCAGCAAATACAAATTTCCTTTCCTGTTTTTGGAAAAATGAATATCTGGAAGGAAATATTAACATAAGATAGTAAAGCTGATATCTAAGGTGTATTTAGTTTGACAAAAATATGAACATTTGTTGATGAAATCTTTTTAACTGTAATAACTATTTTTATATGATTGAAAAGTGCCAGACTTATCTTTTAAAATCATTTTGAGAAAGTTCTCTCTTTGCTGTCTTTGAACAAGGCCTAGCCTGGTCTAATACGTCCAACTCAGTCATGCCAAACTTCACTCTGTAAGTCTATCAGGATAAATCATGTTGAAAATAAATCTTCTCTTAATTTGTCATGATTTCAGATTATCAGTGATAATCCACCTAGCTTACTCTGTAAATACCCAAGTGGAAGTGCATTTGATGCCTGATAAGACAGCAAATCGGGAATATTTCTCACATTCTTGAACAGTTTCTTCTTAATGGTTTTTCTTCCTGACATGTCTGCATCTACATATTTCTGTCGTCTTAAACAATAACTTCTATGTGCTCTGGCGTAGTTTCCTCCTGGCTGCTCTAATCTAATCTGCTCTCTAACATGTGCATGCTGGTCCAACGGACCGACCTGCTTCGCCTGCTGGCTTTCTGCCTCCTTGTGATTCCACTGCTCCCTGTCTCCTTTCAGGTTCTGCTGGCTCTTTTAACATGTCAAACTCCGGGGACTTGTTCATGAGCGTTCAGTCTCTCAATGGGGACTCGTACCAGGGGGCTCAGGTGGGAGCCAATGTGCAGTCGCAGGTAGGGACCGAAGCAGAGAGTGGAACTCCTAATCCTGGCCAATGTCACTCACACAGATGGGAAATGTAGCTAATTATATCAGCGGAGGGTTATTTTTGTTAGCTTTCTTCAAAAAGTATTAGTAAGATTAAGTGTTGTTCATCCAGCAACACACCATCTACTGCATAAATGACAAAATCATAGTCTGGGATTTTGTTCTACACTGCAAAAATGATTTCTAAGAAAGTGAAAAAATGTCTCATTATTAGATATTTTGTCTTTTTTTATTCTAAAAATTAAACAAATTTGTCTCTAAAAACACAGCTTTGCTAAGCTTTACTTTGTAGACTAAAATAAGATAAAATGTCTAAAAATCTGGCTTTTATTACTTTCTTAAAAATCAGTTTTTGAACTTCCTGAATGTTCAATTTTCTCGAGATAGTTTTCTGTTTCAACTAAAATGTGTTATACTTACTTATGATTTTAGATGTTTCTATTGAGTCACATATAAATAAATTGTAATCATATCAACGCATGCTTCAGTCTGTTTTACATTTATTGGTGTATTCTTTTGTTATGGTAGCAGCGGTGTATCTAGATTTTTTTTACTGAGGGGGCCTAGTTGGGACAACGCACTTCATAGTGGTGGCAGCGTCTCTTACTGATGTGTTCAACTGTGTTGTTTCAGTCAACGCTGAGTTGGACCCACTGTCAATATAAACAACCATAAAAAGTTCAATTTAAAGTCCCACTCTAATCATCTTTTTTTAGCTGTTTTAAATAGTTCTCAGTGGTCTTTAAACTATGATTATGCTATTTTTAGCCAACATCACAAAACCTGTGCCATTTTCTAGGACTTACTATATTTTCCGGACTATAAGTCGCACTTTTTTTCATAGCCTGGCCGGTCCTGCGACTTATACTCCAGAGCGACTTATATACCAAATTATGTAGGCTATACCGCGCTGCTGCGGGCCGGCTCCGGACCAGGAATGAGCTCCCCTGACCCGCAGGGAACTAAAAACACACAGCCATCACCTGCTGGAGCCCGTGGCGCATCGTTACACACCTGATCCGGCCCAGGAGTGAGCTTCCCTGACCCGCAGGGAACTAAAAGCACACAGCCATCACCTGCTGGAGACTGTGGCGCGCAGCTGCGGGCTGGATCCGACCCAAGTTTCAGCTCACCTGCCCCGCAGGGAATTAAAAACACGCAGCCATCAATTGCCGGAGCCTGTTGCGCACTGGATCCAGCCCACGTTTCAGCTCCTCTGCCCCGCCATCACCTGCTGCAGCCTGTGGCGCACTGCTGCAAGCCGTCTCCGACCCAGGAATGAACTCCCCTGTCCTGCTGGGAGGGTTTCAAACACCGCCATCCTCTGCTGGAGACTGTGGCGCTCTGCTGCGCCCGCGTTGTTTATTCTGTTATTGTTACCGGTACTTGTCTTGCATTGTGAAACACTTGGTCTCAGATTTTATAAGAAAAATAATAAAATTTCCCCCCAAAATGAGACTTATACTCCAGTGCGACTTATATATGTTTATTTCTTCTTCATTATACATTTTATGACTGGTGCGACTTATACTCCGGAGCAAATTATAGTCCGGAAAATACGTTAGTTTCTACACAGTGGCAGTAGCTCATTAAAAATGTACCTCAGGGTTGCTGATCAGAGCAGTGCAGCGGGTAGAGGACAAAATCAGACAGGTGGAGTGAAGGAGGAGCTCAGAGCAGCAGACAGAAGCTTGGAAGTCAGAAGTTGTAGACAGAATTTCTTTGCCTGCTGCTGATTCACAGCAATTTGAATGCAGAAATACTCAGAAATGCAATTTTGAGCTTAAATGTATTTAAATATGTCCTGTAGCATAAAATGCCCCAAGAACATGTTAAAAACCGAAAAAACACGATTTTCATTAGAGTGGGCACATGTTAGATTCAAGGGTCACTATTTCAAGTTTTTCCTTCAGATATTTGCTCAAAAAATATGTAGGTGATCAGCGGGTTGAAATTCAACAGATTTTTTGAAGTGCGCTTCTTTGTGAAAGTCGTAAATAATTATTGTTGTACCAGATGTACGTAGCTAGCTGCCTGAAGGGCCTAGGCTTGGAAAAATAACTTTTAATGACAGACAGTAGAGTAAAAGTGACTTGTAACATGCATCCAAGAAGAAGCTAGCAGATCAAATGAAGCCCTGGCGCCAAAGTCTCCTCCCTTTCTGGTCGGCTCATAGGTCTCCGGAAGAACGATACAATGAATGGAAGTCAATGGGGCTAAAACCCTATTTTCTAATCCACTTTGCCTTATTGGATCACAAGTATGTTGTACTTCAATTTAAATGAAAAGTAACGATGGGTATTTCGACCACGCCAGTCACAGACTTTGAGATTTATCAACTTGTAAAACTTCGTAATTACTATGACTACAGATCGGACGTCGGCACCTCGCTTATATATAGCATAGATGCTACTTACCAAATAGTCAGGTTTATGGTGATTTTTTCCTCCTGAAGGAAGGATTGCATGTTCGCTGAACTTACAGCCATTTTTTCTCTGCTTTTCTGGTTTGATGACGTCAATTTGGAGATGCGCATTTGTAGTTCTGGACATCTTTTCACACAAAACCTTAAATAACTTTAGCCCCCGTTCGAAAATAAGGATTGTGTCTCTAAAATGAACGGACGCCGTATGTGAAATCCAAGGCACACAACAAATGGGATTAGAAAATAGCTTTTAAAGCCCCGTTGACTTGCTTTTTTTTTTTAAGCTGGTCCAGAATTAGATGGGCATGACTTACGCTGCCTATACTGTTACAATGACATTGTGTTGATGTTTGTTTATGTGCATTGTGGAAACAAACAATAAACTAAATTAAAGTTAGTGACGGTGACTTCACTGACCAGGGAAAGTTTGATCTGTTCTTTGCATTTGTTGTTGCGGCTGCATGGCAGTGCTATATTTACGGGGGGGGGGGGGGGGGGGGGTGAACAAATCACATTTTATATTTGAAATTTGCCGACTCATTTAGCCGACCGTGGCTGATTTAGATCACCAGGCGGTTTTTTATCCGGTCGATAATTCTGTGGGATTCTGAGAGGATAACGAGCAGCGATCTCGGCTGAGAGGAGTGTTTGTTTTGTTGTTGTTGTTTGTTCTTTTTGTTTTTCCTCTCTGTTCTTCCACTTTGACCTTGCTTTGTCTGATGTTTCAGGTGGATACTCTTCGCCATGTTATCAGTCAGACAGGCGGATATAGTGAAGGACTCACAGCCAACCAGATGTACAGTCCACAGGGCATCAATGTAAGCTTTCTTTCTTTTTTTTTTCTTTCCTCGTCCTTTTCTCCCTACCAATTATTTTGGAGCCATAGGGCTCAGAATGCCACTTAGTGGGACTTGTCTCAGCTCCATGGTCACCTAGTTGATTGCTTCTGTTTCATTCGTGCCACGGGCAGCACTCTGTCCAACAACACAGGCGTGGTGCCGGCCACGCACACACAGCGCCGCCGTCTGACTCTGTCACATTCAATCAGGTTAGGCCAGGCACCTGCAGCCACGTACGGCCGGCCGCTGAGAGGGCTCAACAAACAGGTGACACCTCATTCGACAGACTTCAAATACCTCAGCCCACCTGACCCATAATTAGCAGCCTCAAAGCCAGAGACGGCTTCTCAGGAGGCAACATCATGCTCTCGCTAAAAATAAATTCCCATACTGCTGGAAAGCCCTCCTCGTGTGCCGTAGGGGTGTGTTCCCATCTTGTTTTCCTTATTTTACAGCAGAGTTTGGGTGTGGAAGTGGGGGCTGGGGGTGAAGGGGGGCTTGCTAGCTGGCGGCGGCGAACAGTAGGGAAATTCACAGCGACAAGCCGTGTCGTAAAGGGGGAAATCGATAAGACAGACACAAGGAGAGCAGAGTGTGGACTTGGGACAGCAATCCAAGCACATTGCTCAGATCATGTTCCTGCCACAGTAATGGTCCTGACAGCAAGCCACACTGAGAGGACGAGGACGGTCACAGCCACTGCTGTGCTCCTCCGCTGTCGCCGTCGTGCCTCACTGGCCATATGATAATCAGATGAAATGTCTCCCGCATAAAAACATGTCTGTGTATTCAAATCGGCTCCCTGGCTGCTCGGAGCGCATGCTGCAGCCAGCTGCACTAACCCTGAGAGGCCGCTAATGTATTCAGGCCCTGTTCTTTCTCAGTCCTTTGACCTCAAAGATGCAGTTCTCCTTGGACGCCTGCTTGCTCTACCACGTCCTACACTGCCACAATACGCCGTGTTATTCACTTTTAGAGCCTGTAAAAAGCCCCACAATGCATAATGTAGGAGCAGGAATCTGTCTGCCAGGACGTTGGGCTGTGATTTATGTAGCAAAGGCTCGTAAATCAGGGATTTTTGCTCTTCACTTGACTTCTCTTTGCTAAACCATGGGCAGTTCATTTCTATGTGATACGGTGTTTAGGCAATCGTGCTACTTATTCCTGAATAATGTTAACATTTTAAAATACAAATAGTACATACAGTGATCCCTCGTTTATCGCGGTAGATGCGTTCCAGACCTGGCCGCGATAGGTGAAAATCCGCGAAGTAGGGACGCCATATTTACAGTATTTATTTATCAGGTACGTATTCAGTATTCAGACTTTTAAAACCCTCCCTTTACATAGTACTGTTAACAAACCACCCTTTAATGTACAGAACACTTAATCTAAAACAGGCACTAATATTAAAATGTTAGAATATTTTTAAAAAGTGCATTTTATGATGAAATTGATGAAAAAAACAGGAATTTCTTGATATTTCGCATAGAAAAATACTGCGAATCGGCGAATTTCCCTTGAATAAGGCTCCAAAGAAAAAATCCGCGAAGTCGTGAATCTGCGATAAACGAACCGCGAAGTAGCGAGGGATCACTGTAATTACTTTACTAGATTTCCCAAGCTTTTATTATATTGTGATACTTATTACACACAAGGGAACCCCAGATGCTGAAGTCATTTAATGTTATGTAAATTTGTGTTGTTTTAAGGCACAGTTCCAAGAACTAATGCTTAAAAAATATTTTAATAGATATTTTCTTTAAAAATCATGCAGATAGTAAGTGAAAAGATAATTCATGCCTTTTTAATAATTACAGCCACATTTTAAAGTTTTCGTAGACAGCGGTTATCCAGGATTAGCTGGTCATCATCAGTGGGAGCTCTTTTAAAAAAGCAAACGGTGATTTGTAGTTTGCTGGTCCAGAGCAAAGGTGTGTGTGTGTTTACACAATGCTAAGGAGGAAGAACATCAGGAATTACCTCACAGAAGCGACTGTTGCCACCCAGTCTCAGAAGGGTTCAAGTTAAACCGTAAACAGTGTGGAGTCCATCTATGTGTGCAGAAATATATTTCATTATTGAAAAAAATATTTAAGACAGTTGGCTGTCTTTCCAGAAATTGATATCCCAACATCTGCCGTAGTATTACAAAAATGACAAACAAATAAAACACTAGCTCCATCTTGGACTCCATAGGCATCCCCATGCTGGTTAAAGGTTAAAGTTCATGATGGGGCAGTTAGATAGTGATGCAACCTTTATGATTTGTTGTTTATGACTTGGAGGGTTGCAGGAGAAAGTGTCTTCTCTCTCAAAATAACATGACAGCATGATTTAGGTTTGCAAAGTTGAATTCAAATAAACATTTAGAGGAGATTTTTGTTGGACAGATGAAACAAAATTGGAAATTTTTTACCCATAATGCACTGGGTTGTCACAGTGTGAAAATTTTACCTCACAGTTATTGTGACCAAAATTATCACGGTTTTCGGTATTATCGCGGTATTTGTTTAAACATGTTAAATTTTCAGGAAACTAAATAAACCCTGTATATCAGGAAAATATTGTCCTCAATTTGTGTCTAAATTTTGCCTAAAATGTGTTATTTTGTAATTATGTTGTTTATTTGTTTACATATTTCCCCTTTAGTCTTTAAAATACCAATATTTGCCCAAAACTTCTTATTTTTTGTCTGTTTGATGTCATCATTTAAAAAATATTAGATCAGATAATACTCAGTACTCAAGTAACCTTCTAATCAGATACTTTTTTACCCTTACTTGAGTAATAAACCCTATATCATCCTCGGTTTGTGTCCTTCCAGTGAGCTTTGCAGATTTGGGAAAATGTCATCAGGCAGTAATCATTGTTAAATTCATAATTATTCTCGGAGAGAGACCAACTCTTATCTGCCCCTGGGAGCCCCGTAATGCGTAGCGTCATTTCAACATGGCGGTGTCCGTGACACGGTTTATATGCAGGTAGCGGCGCTGCGGCTGCTTTATATAGCGACTCGTTGCATTCTCCCTCAACCCAAATCCTCGGATCACGCATTTTAGCTAAAACGCTAATGTTAGCTTGCCTTGCGTTGACTGTAGAGTTGTGGGTGATGGTCACGCAGATGTGTCATGAGATTTGAAGCGTTGCTGCCTTTCACAGACACTTTTTCTGCACGTGCTGCAAACAGGATAGCCGTCTTCTATCAACTGTCCCTCGGCATTCTTCAGATATCCAAAAGATGCCCGTACTTCCCACTTTGTCTTCTTTGAGGGATAAAAAATGTCCTCCTGAGCGCTGCCGTCTCCTCCTTTGGCCATTATTTCAGCTTTAGCTTCAAGAAAGTTTTGGTTGTAAACAACAAAGTGCGCATGTGCCGCCGGCAACTTCAGCAGATGATACGGTGGCTGGTAAGGGTCACCACGTCTACACCGCAGCCACGGTAACCCACCGAGATAATATAGTTTTTTTTAAAACAAGACGGTTATCGTGATTGTCAACTTTTTTACCGGGGTTTACCGCTACACCGGTTACTGTGACAACCCTAGTCATGACCACATCATAATGGCATTATTAGTTCATATTGGTGATGCCACAGTGGTGGAGGGCTGATTGTTTGGCTGCTGTCACCCTGCAGCCATCGAGTCCACCATGAACTCCTCTGGAAAATCTTCTAAAGTCAAATATGAAGCCATCTATCATACCGCTGTAGCTTGACCCAAACTGGGCCGTAAAACATGACAATGTCCCCAAAGACATCCACAGTAGAGACGCTAAAAATGAAAAGAATCAAAGTGTTGCTACGGCTCATCAAAGTCTGGACCTCAGCTCAATTGAATGTCTGCAAACCTCAAGGAACTGAAGCAGTGAAGCCGTGTCCTAGAGGACGTCATACGGAAAATGGGCGTTTCAAATTCCCGCTGCTGAAGCTGCAGCTGTGAGAACATGGGATGGACCTTGTTTTCACACAGCTCTTTGGTACTTTTTTATTTAACGCATAATAACACGAGGGAATCAACGAAGAACCTGGAGCTCACTGATTAATGTCTTGCTTTTAAACCAGTAAACATGTTGACAGCCAAGAGCTAGTAAACACGTAAGCACATTGGTCCGCTAAGCTGTGATATGTGGGGCCACGGCACTCCTTTCACAAACAGACCATTAAAAAAAATAACGAGGGTCAAAAACATCACACTCATCATAAAAATGCTTTGTGTGCAACATCTCCACAGTCTTTTCATGGAATTTTGCATGTGAACTTATTTTTCATACATCAGTGTCCTGACCATACTTGTATCATCCTGAAACTAGACCCTAGAAATGAAAAATGATGGAGTCTCTTTTTTTTAATGTCTACTCCACCTTAGGATTTGTACTCGCAACACCTCAGCATGTTTCAGAATAATTCAGTTTTTGCTTTTATCTTGTTCTGTTCCTGCCAGGCAAACGGTGGCTGGCCGGACGCGCCGACCCCCTCGTCAGTGACTTCACCCACAGAAGGACCCGGAAGCGTCCACTCCGACACCTCCAACTGATCGTGTGCCCCCTGATTCCCACCTCCACTCCCCTCCCAGTTGTATCTCTCAAAGCTGAGACTTTAATTCATCTCACAGAACCAGGACATGATGTGAGGCAGCGGGATGCAGTTGGGGGTCTAGAGAGGATGCTTCCAGCGTCGCTGACAAAAACACTCTTTCCTATCTGGACCACCGCCGCAGCCTGTGGAGGAACCTATGTCCTCACTCCACAGTTTGTACAGTTTCCACTTGATGTCAATGTTGCCTCTTTGTATTTCCTCTTGACATCATGAAATCACAGTCCACTACCCCCCACCTCACAGACACACACACCCTCGCCCCCCCCCTTAAAGAAAACGTTTTCACTACCTCCATCTGAAACATCACATGATAAAAGCTTTGGTTCTTCACAGATGTTATGATGACCTCACGCCACACAGCCAATATCCGGTTGTTTTTATTTATCATCAGTGCCAAAGTTAGTCACTGGGGTGGATTTTCGATCATGAATTTATCTTGTGTTATCTTGAAGCAAACATCTGTATTATGTTAATTCATCCATTTTCAGTATTTAACCCAGTAACGGAACAAAAACCAGTGAAAATTTGAATGAGAGAAAATGTTCTGCAGCAGTGGTTACATCAGGATGAATTAAAGCACAAACGACCAAATTCTAGAGGAGTTCTGTAAATGATGGACAGAAAACAGTTTAACTGTACGAGTCATACTGTAATCTGTTGTGTGTGCATCACTAGAACCAAATACTGCTGGTAACCAAATCTGCGTGTCAGGATGTAACACACTGCAGGATCTGTGTTGTTCACATACCAAATATGTTCTTGTCAAAATTCCTAAGAACACGATGAAACATCTGAGCGACAGAAATCATTTTTGCACCTGCAACACCTCTACGGGCAAAAAAATAATAATAAGGATTTTCAGTGTCAACAAACCCCACTGCAGCCTCGGTATTTCACTGGGCAGCAACTGTTGGAGACACAACGTTGAGAGAAATTAGGCAAATTTTCCTTTTGGAGTCAGAATGAGTTGGTACTCAGATGATTTTACTCCACCAGTTTTCTATCCGGCCAAATCGTGGGGGACATGCACTTTATTAATTACACCTGTTTAATTATTTTTAAACCCAAAAAGTTAAACAGCAGCTGAAATAACCACTGGTTCCTACCGAGGTCCACAGAACAGCATCTCTGAACCACAATTCAATTCGGTTTTTTTGTTAGGAGCCAAATCAACAACAAGAGTCGTCTCAAGGCGCGTCGCAAAGTCAGCATTCCAATACGGGTCAGTTCATTAAGCCATTCAGTAAACGTTTCCTGTATAAGGAACCCAGCAGACTGCATCGAGTCACCGGCTGGCGTTGAAGCTTGAAGCAGATGGACTCCAGCAGCAGAAGACCACGCCAGGTGTCTCTCCTGTCAGCTAAGAACAGGAACCTGAGGCTACAACTCACACAGGATCACCAGAGCTGGACCAGAAGAAACTGGAAAATGTTTCCTGGTCTGAGTCTGGATCTCAGCTGCAACATTCAGATGGTCGGGTCAGAATCTGGTGTCACCAACATGAAAGCACGGATCCATCCTGCCTTGTATCGATGCTTCAGGCTGCTGCTGGTGGTGTAATGGTGTGGGGGAGATGTTCTGGTCCCACTTTGGACCCCTTAGTACCACCTGAGCCTGGTTTAAACACCACAGCCTACCTGAGTGTTGTTGCTGACCGTGTCCATCCCTTTATGACCACATGGACCCATCTTCTGATGGCTACTTCCAACAGGATAAAGCACCATGTCACAAAGCTCAGATCATCTCTAACTGGACTCCAACCACCCCCACAGTCCACAGATCTTCAACCAGTCCAGAACCTTTGGGATGTGGTGGAACGGAGGATTCCCATCATGGATGTCATTGTGAACCAGAACCTCTGAGGGACATTTGCATCTCCTTGTTGAATCGATGACACCAAGAATCATCCATCCATTCATTTTCTAAACCTGCTTATCCACGCAGGTTTGCAGGGGGCGCTGGTGCCCATCTCCAGCAGTCAAACAGACAGGGTACACTCTGAACAGGTTGCCATTCCATCGCAGGGCACAGTTGTTTGACCATCATGTAAACTTTCTTTTTTCAATTTTGTCACAAAGTATCCTAATATTGTCTTTTTTTTCCTGACTAACTTTAATTTTATTCACAACTTGTTTGCTCAGTTGTCTCACATCCAGCACACTTCTGACTCACAAAGACTAGTCCACACGTAGCCGTTTTTTTTTTTTAACGAATATCCGCCCCTCCAAAAACTTGCATCCACACCAACTCGTTTAAAAAAGAAAACACTGTCCACACGTACCCGGATAAATACGTTGTTAAGGACATGCCAGACCTGTAGGCGGCAGTACTTCCCCCGTTCTTAACCTCGTCCTTCGTCTGTGGTCTTCCGCAAGGAGCAGTAATTCCGCTTGCAAAAACAAACAAGCAAAAAGCGCTTGGACAATTGATAAAGCGAGCGCAGCTCTGAGGGCATCCATGCTGTCGGCTAGTGTAAACACAGGTCGCACACGTGATGTCAGCATTTTTTGTCGCGGAAAGTGACGTTGCGGATCTTAAAACTCCGGTTTTGTCCGTCCACACGCAGACACCCAAAACGGAGAAAACGCAGATCTTCACTTTGGCCGGAGTTTTTAAAAAAGATCAGTTTTCGTGTGAAAAAACTCCGTTTTCGTGTGGATGACGGGCCAAAACGTAGAAAAATATCTACGTTTTGGCAGATCCCCGGCTACGTGTGGACAGGGCCTAAATACAAGAGTTCCAGATGCTCAAGAGAACCGTTGTCATGCAAAGTTTTCTAAACCAAAAATTCCATATTCCATGGCAGCAGGACCCGCAGACTCGAGGAAATTAAGAAGAATCAAAAAATTAAAGCTCCCACAAGTCGTCACCGACAGTCGCCGCCCAGTCCGTTACTGGCCTTAGATAAACTTGTCTGATTCCTGATACCATCACAGACAACGTTTCATATACATGTTTGTTTTTCCACGAGTTCTTGACGTGACACTTTATTCATGAACACAAATCAATCCAAAATGTGAATGTGTGTTTTGAGCTGTTGTTGTTTGTACAGAACAGATGGATTTAATTACAGTAGTCCACATCAGGTAGAGGGATCCTTTGATACCAAAAATGGCAACACTTTCTTACACTGGGATCAGCTTTTTTTAAAAGTTTACCTCTGAGTACTTTTAATTTATTCTGTATTCTTAACCAAGAAGAAGTTTGAATACAGAAAAGTTTATATAAGTCTCAGTGGAAGTGAGTAGTCCTAATCCAGCAGGTGTTTGGACAAACTTTAATGTCCATTTTTGTGAATAATTCATCTTTATCTACTTTTGTTTTATATGATTTGGAAATGTTCTGCAGTCATTTTACCAGAGTTAGACTAAGAATGATTTATATTCCAGCTGTAGATAAGCATCCTTGCCTTTGTTTAGCATCTTTGCATTTGGACCATCGCTCTTTTTTCAAAAATGATCCTTACTTTGTGCTTGGATGGTGATCACGTTAGCTGCTGTCCTAAGGATGGTGTCAAACGGTGCCCTCTGACCTTGTTTTTAGCTGGTCTGAACCTTCATAGGGAGGGAATACATTTAATTTCTGAGTCAAAATGGTCGTATAACGGATGAAAAACCACAGGTCTGTGTTTTTTCCTTTGCACCAGATGTCCGTGTGTTTGTATTTATTACACGTGTATGAAATTGTGGGTTTCAGAGCCACGGCGTCGGTGTGACAACACCAAACGGACTCATTGGGATGACGATTCACCTGCTCAGTGTTTCAGATATGACTCACAGAAGCCGCCTCATCTGCAGAACTCACTGGACAGAACTGACGGCGGCGCCTATGCAAGGCAAACACGAGGGTTTTTTTTTTTGTTGTTCCTTTTGCTCTTCTCAACAAACTGCTCAACTCTCACATTTGCCTGTCAGATATTACTGAAGCTTCATGTAATGATGCTTTTTAATTTTGAGTATAAAAGGAAATGGAACGGAAACAACTGTTTGTAAAACATGAGGTGTTTAATTTGTTGCATGTCTTTTGGTTCTCCAATAAAACAACGTACTGCAGTGTTTTGAATGTTAACTTCTTTTTATAAGGAATTCAACGTGAATCGAGGAGCCTTTTTTGACAGGTATTAACTTTTAAAATCTCTGCTTATATAGAAAGTGTATCAAATGGAAAACTATTGTCTTTTTAATCACAAATCAAACCCTGTTTTTTTTTTTCTTTATTTTGTGGAGAAAATAGCTGGATGGAGTAGTTTTTATGGTCTCTTCATTTGTGTTGCCGAAACGCGTCCCAAATAAAAGCTTTCTTTTGTTGCAGTTGGGTTGTTCTTTTGTTTTGGTTTGGTTTTTACCCATAATCCACCACAAACTTGTGAGAGAGGGTTCTCCTTCAGACTTCAGGGTCAGGAGTCACTGTAGGATACAAGTTAACACGTTGACTTGTCAGTCCAACACTTCTGGATAACGTTGCACATCTCAGTACCGACTGTGCTGTGGCACCGAGGCATTTTATCACCATGGAGGCAGCGTTGGAGCTTAGCCGAGGGTGTGTGTGTGTGTGGGGGGGGAGCATTTTCACAGCTTTCAAAGTGAGTGAAAGCTGTGTGCTCATGGCAGACAGGCCTCCCCCTCCACCACCTTTACCCACAACATGTTCCCTCCGAGGCATGGTTAATGTGCGTTCCCTGACAGAGGCGGGATCCACACTTATCTCTCTCCTCCAGATAAACCAGACTGGATGTCTGATGCTCTGCCTTTGATTCATCCCTCAGTTGCAAAGAAAAGGTTTAAATATCAACTTGTGGATTAGGGAAAAGGTTCCCAGAAGCATCCAGAATCAGAGGCCGTGGGAGTGACATGTGCAAACATAATCACAAGTGATTACATGGATGGGCCTTCCTGTTTCTATCAAAGGCCTTCTTTTAGCCACTGGTAGAGCAATGAAAGGGAAGAAGTGCTGGACATGTTTAATTTGTTCAACCAAAAAGGTAATGAGAGGCTGATTCAGTCACTTTGTTACGGTGAAAAGCTGTAAATCATATTCAGAGTTAAATCACTCCATGCTCCTTTTGTAATTCCGCGTTGCTTCAACAAACAAACTGCGTAACATGCCGCGCTGAAACCGATTCTACACCGGTTTTCAAGGATCTGTTACCTAGAGAGAAACAAAACCTGTCTGAGGTGGCTCGTGTCGAATTTAACAAAAAATCAAGCGGCTCATATTTTTGTGGAATCGCTGTAAAAAAATCACATGGTTATTTGAAAGTGGAAACCTGTACCCACCTTCTCAGCTGGTGTGTCACACACCTGAGGGTGTCACACACCTGAGACCCTCAGGTGTGTGACACACTAATTAATTAGAGTTCCTAACCTGAGCCTGATGATCACATGACTCTCAAACATCCACCCAGATCCAGTGAATCCCGTTTGGACTCTAGAACATCACTGAAAAAGTTTAATGTTTTATTTTAACTGTTTAAATTTTCTTGCATCTCGACAAACAGAAAATAAATTAATCAGATCCAAGTTGTTTTGTTTTAATATCTAAACAATAGAAGAAAAGTAAAGAGAGGCAGAAATGTTAAAGCTGCTGCCAGTGGGCATTAGGGTCACCGTGGTAACCATTCAGTACCCATTCAGCTCAGTGATGCATTAAAACTGACGATGATCCTACTGTAAGGTTTATCCAGGCCCCCACAATGCAGCTCTGAAATTGAGCCAAACCCGAAAGTGAAATAAATTGCAGTTCCACCCTCATCCACTAGGGGCTGGTGTCAGAAGCGAGCAAATCCTCATCGACTCCCATGTTAAAAATACCAATTTCACAGCAGAAATAAACATGTTTACAGCCTGGTACCAAAACATGTTTTTTGTTTAAATGATCTAGTTTACATTCATGACAACTCTGAGGGGGGTGAATGTTTTTCTCACTCTTCTGTTTAAGTGTATTAAAAGCCTAAAATTCTGTATAATTAATGAGCATCAGACCCACGTGACCGCAGAGCTAGCTCAGTGGAAAGGCCTCAGTAGAGCCTCAGTCTGGTCTGGAAACTGTTCCGGGATTTTGAGTCTCTGTGTGTGTGTATTCTTGTTTGTATATTTTTTGTGCAATTGTTGGACAAAATGACTTGCTGTGGCATTAATTGCTCTAATAGAGGTCCAAGGAGTCTCCACTTCATTTTTTTCGGTAAGTAAAATTATATTTATGTATTTTAGGTCACTGCCGAGCTGAGCTTAGATTTTAACATGTTCTGTTTAACCATGAAATTTAAATGTAATAGGGTAAAACCCAGTGCATTTAACATAATGCTGCACTTTAGAAAATTGATTGAAATATAACATGTTGGTGGAGCTGGGTTCCCACTATTGGCATGTGGAGCTCTCGGGAGACCGATGTTTTCCACCCTTATCCCCTCCCCGCAGCCTGGTCCATCTCTGTCTGATCGCGGCTTCTGTTAGCTGCGCGGGCTGAAAGCTGGTTCTTATGGCAAGCCAGAACCGCCAAAATACGCCACTTCTCCCGGCAGCTCGGCGCATCTCTGTCTGATCGCGGCTCCTGTCTGCTGCGCAGGCTGACGGCTTGTGGAGCTCTGGGATGGAAACCTTTCCACCCAGTTCTCCCCAGCGGCAGCTCTGCGCATCTCAGATCGCAGCGGCGCTTGTCTGCTGTGCGGCTGCCGGCTTGTGGAGCTCTCGGAGACCTCTGTGTTCCACCCGGTTTTACCCAGTGGTCAGCCCGGCGTATCTCTGACTCAGAAGCTCTGGTGTTGTGCACAGTTAACTCCGGTTGTAGCTAGGTTGCTACCTCCGTTAGCTTAGGTTAGCTTCAGGTTAGCTTGTAGCTAGTTCGACCGGGTGTCGTCAGTCGATCCCAGCCTTACAGCCCCACCCTCAGCTCCACCTCTCTTCCCTTTTGTGGAATTGTCTGGGCTTGACGGAACCTGTGACACGGTCAAAATGGCGGTGGTGGCCACCTCCCATTTTAGCAGAAAAACTTGTTATTGGAGGCTATGGAAACCCATTGTCTATATATTTCTGTCGATGGTTTTATCTGAGCAATAGGGCGCCAGAGAGGGCGCGGCTACATCACCTGGCTCACCTGTTTTGTCTAAAAGTACGTTTACCAGGCTTTGGGACATCGTGATGTTTCTCTATCTAAATTAACCTCAGAAATGAACTGATGACTAATTGTACTGACCTCATAAATAAATCAGACATGATAAGTAAAACACAGACTATTACCTGATTAGGCTGTTAAACATGTAGCTCTAAATTAACAATTAGAACAATCAAATTATCAAGTTTGATTACTTGTGTTAGATTTTCCTCTTTGATGACTGAATTTTGTTTTTAAATTTCTAAGGTTCAAAAATGTAAGACTGAACCCCACGGGACAAGCATGGGGGGTGGGGGTGGGGGGGTCTTTGGATTGTGTCTTTTCAAAAGTAAACTACTCAAACAGCTTTTCCAGGATCTACGACAGGATCTACGACTTTACCTTTAAGCTCTACTCTGTTTATCTGACTGCTGCTCTCGTTTTCGGGAATCGGCATTTCTCTTTAAAGTTGCTATAGCAATTAGCACAGGATCTCCACAGGGCTGTGTACTGTCTCCTCTGCTCTTCTCCCTGTACACAAACTGCTGCACCTCGAGCCATGACTCCGTTAAACTGATCAAGTTTGCGGACGACACCACCCTCATCGGGCTCATCTCTGACGGTGATGAGTCTGCCTACAGGAGGGAGGTGGAACGGCTGGTGTACTGGTGCAGTTGCAATAATCTGGAGCTCAATGCTCAGAAGACAGTGGAGATGATTGTGGACTTCAGGAAAGTCACAGCCCCATCTCTCCCCCTCGTCCTGACGGACACCCCCGTCACCACTGTGGACTCCTTCCGCTTCCTCGGAACCACCATCACACATGACCTTAGGTGGGAGCCATCCATCAGCTCCCTGATCAAAAAGGCCCAGCAGAGGATGTACTTTCTGCGGCAGTTGATAAAGGCCAAGCTGCCGGCCCAGATGATGGTGCAGTTTTACACGGCCATCATTGAGTCCATCCTCACCTCCTCCATCGCTGTGTGGTACGCTGGAGCCACAGTGAGGGACAAACATAGACTGCAGCGCATTGTGCGCTCCGCTGAGAAGGTGATTGGCTGCAGCCTTCCATCTCTCCAGGACCTGTACGTCTCCAGAACTCGGGGGCGTGTAGGCCGGATAGCAGCTGACCCTTCTCACCCGGGACACAGACTTTTCGAGCCGCTTCCCTCAGGCAGGAGGTTACGGTCCATCCGGACCAGAACCTCTCGCCATAAGAACAGCTTCTTTCCATCTGCCGTTAGACTTGTAAATAGCTTATAATCACACAACCATGCTGGTCTTCTGTACTTGACATAACGTCACGTTATCGGCCATATTACCATTACCTGCCTATGTTTTTATTGCTGAATGTTTTATGCTAGTTTTATTATATTTTATATTTTATTCTACTTATTCTATTTTTGAAACTTATTAGTCATGTTATATGTAGCACATTAGTACCGAAGCAAGTTCCTAGTTTGTGAACTGCTTGTTCACTGACAATGGCAATAAACCGAATCTGATTCTGATTCTGATCTGATTTACGGGACAAGCTAGGTTTTGAATGCATACATTGTTATGGAACAATCACCTCTCCCCTCAGGTATCTTCTGCCTGAACTGAAAGCATGTGATGCCAGAGGAAACGAGATAGCGCTAAACACTAATCGTTGTTTTCTAGGTCCAAACGTCTTTTGTTGTCTGTGACTTCAAATGGTGTTTTTCTTTTTGGGACCCTGGTTTCATCCTTCTCTGCTATTATTGAGCAGAGAACCTCTCACACCAGTGGTGTTCTGTTGCTAAATACGTGAGTGTGTAATGAGTAGAGGACCCAGGGAAGTGCAGCAGTCCAGTAAGATCAATAACTGGACGGTTCATAATCTGCTTTCGGTCCAATAGTGTTATTGGTGGAGGTTTTTACACAAATGCAAGAAACCGCTTTCATTTGTGAGGATTTGTATTTTTTATCTCCACAATATATTTATATTTATATGTTAGAATGTTGTTAAGAGGCATGAAAAAAAAACTTTTTTAAGCAAAATCGCCATTGCAGCTGTCACAGGATGCACTAAAGCGATTTGGTTTGCATAGCTGACCACTAGGTGGCGGTAAAACTGTATTTAATATTCAAATTGTTTAAAAAAAGAAATTTGATCTCTTGAAGTTGCAGTTTTTCTTCCGTCGGTCTAAATTCATTGGGTATATTTTAGGTAACAGGTTATTTGGGGGTGACTTCCTGC